CAAGTGTTATTCTTCTCAATCATTTTAATCTCTTCTTCCATAGCCTTGACCCATACTTCTTGCTTTGATGCTTCTTCATAACAGTTAGGCTCAATCATGGCCATATAGCAAGTTTCATATATGTCTACCAAAGATCTTACTCTTCTTGGACTAAATTCAGGAAGAATCTTGTTGTTGTGGAGGTGGAGAAAGCGTACCTGAATTTTCGGCCCCTTCTTGACCTTCTTCTTGAGATTGTTGCATTAGAAGTAAAATGTTGCTTTTAACAACTTTTTCTTCTTCCCAATTCCAAGAATCATTTTCATCCACTTCAACATATCGACTGAAAATGAGCTTTTTTGTTTGTAGGTTGTAGACTCGATAGCCTTTTGACTATGTGTTATATCCTAAGAATATTCCACGTATAGTCTTGTCTTCAAGCTTGTGCCTCCTTTGATCAAGAACATGTTGATACGCTGTCGTTGAAGCTATCAAATTAATACTATTTTTCAAGACAACTTCATTATTGCCAAATTAATTAAAGTACATTCTTAACTAATTTGAGGGTGATTATGCACTTAACCAAAGTAGATTCTCAATCAAATGCAAGACCTTTCTAGATTATTCACAATGAATTCAACCAAAGTACATTCTCATTCAAATTCTATTGTGTTTAATCATGTCTATTCTTAAATCTCCTAACAAAATTAAAAGCTAATTAATCAAAGTAAATTCTCAATTGATTGTAGTTGCAATTATTATCACCAACCAAAGTACATTCTCAATTGATTATAGTTGCAATTATTATCACCAACCAAAGTACATTCTCAATTGATAGTAAAAACTCATTTAATCCTATGAAAGTTCCTAAATTTAATCAAAGTAGATTCTCAATCAAACCTAGAAACCTTTGAACTCATATAATTAATATGCATGTAGATTCAAACATGTTATAATTGAAAAATCATTGTTTTTAATATGATTTAGAGATGAAAGACATAGAAAGAGAGCAACTCAAATCAATAATCAAAAGAAACAATTGCATTAATTCAACTTAACCTCAGAATCCATAATGAAATTGTAGTGGAATTGCCCTAGGAGCTTAGCCATCCATGAATGGAGTAGAATACATGATGAAATAAAATGAGATGAGTGGTGTATGAATGCTTCCTAGTGGAGGAGTCTGCAAGAATGAATGAGTTATGCCTCCCATGGGTCTCTTTATATAGGCTTGATTAGGCTTGGACTCTGAATCTTTTGTTGATAAGATCTTTTATCTTATATCTAATATCTTTTGTTTAGAATATTTGATAATATCTTTTCTAGATTCAAAAAGATTTGACAAATATTATCTTTTGATTGTTATTAATATAATTAAATAAGATAATTATTTAACAACATCAAATAAAATATCTTAAGATATATTTTCTCCAAATTATCTTTTAAAATAAACTTGTCCAAAATTGCATTTCAACCCCTCTTATTTTATTCAAAATTGCATAGAAGTCCAAAAACTTCCTCAATTGCATTTTAGCCTTTTCTTTCTTTTCAGAATTGCAATTCAAGCTTTAATTTTAGTTGCATAACCAAACATTAGACTATCCAAAATAATTTATGCAACTAAAATCACATTTTAAGCCTCTTTATTTCCCAAACCCGATAAAGCCAATCATGTAAAATCTTATTCAAATCAATCATTTAAGCACGATTATTCCACTAAAATTTTGAAATTAAATCTAAAATGTGGGCATAAATATGCAGTCATCACACTCCCACACTTATCCTTTTGCGCTCCTGAGCAAAATTGATTAATTCCAAGACTTTGTTCTGGGTTATTTTATTCCATATTTGCATCTGGATCACAAGATTTAATAGCACTAGATATAGATCAATCATCTAGAAATCAATTTGTCATGGATATGCAAATGAAATCAATCTATTCTTCACACATGAGTTAATCTTGGCTTGTGTTTACGCTCAAAATAACACTCAAGTCAAAATGTATCTATTTCTCTCCAACTCTCAAATGTCTTTAGCTTGTGTTTACGCTCAAAATACCCATGTAAGTAGACACCCTTGATATTTAGCAAGACTTTAACATTCACATACTTAAGAAAACATGCAATTATTGATCATGAGGGATTTTTAAAGTTTATTTTGAGGCCAAGGCAAAGGTAGCAATTTTTTTTTGGAATTTTTGAGTTTTTGAAAATGATATAGAAAGAGTAATGACACTTTATTTCAAAAACAACTTTATTTCTTGCTTTTTTAAGGAAGATTTACTTTTCTTTCTTTTTTTTTTCTTTTTCCCTTTCTTTTTCCTTTTTTCAAAACTCCAACTTTTCATCTTCCTTTTTTCCCTTTTTATTATTTTGTGGGTGAGGCACTCACCCACACACTTATTCATCACTTACTTCTAACAGAATCCATTACTCCTTCTTCTTTCGTAAGGTAAGGAAGAGATGATTTTGCTTCTTTTCTCATTTGACAACGACTAAAACCAAGAAAAATAGTCTTAAGGCTCAAAGGGGTTTCCAATGGATTAATATTAGGACAAATTTATTTGGTCAAGTAGCTAAAACAAGAAATGTCTCAATCATATCAAATCATGCATATTTACCTCAGTTGCACAACACAAAATCAAGTTAAATATTAAAGTATCAACAAAACATGGGCAAATCACTCAAAAAAAGTAGGTATGGCACATGATGCATCTTTATCATTAGGCCCAAATCTCACATGGTTCAAATTCGTTTAACTAAAGATTTAATCAGGAAATTCTTTAGTCTACTCAACCAACAAATCATAAAAGCAATCCACTCATATCAACGTGACTCATTTTTTTTCTCTTGAATTCATGATCATCCCAGTTACTGATTCAAACTTTCAAATCCATTGCAAATATTTATTTTTAAAAAAATCAAAATAGGGAACAAAGTTAATTGTTTCCCTACAGCCCCACACTTAAACTATGTATTGTCCTTAATGTATGCCTTATATATAAAATGCAAAGAAAAAGTATGAGAGTACTTACCTCCTTCATGGTGGAAGGAATGCTAGTAGGACTTCATCGGAAAAGTCATCCTGCATCGGAATTTTATCTTTTCCCTTTTCAATCCTAAAAAGATGGTCAACTACTAAATTATGTGCCTCACTTCTGTCTTGAATAAGGGTCAACTTGTCCTTCTCATTCTTAACCATTGTGATTCCATATTTCTTGGGAACCACATGTATAAGTCTCACCTAAGTGCTGTTAGAATTAGGGTATATAATACCTGTTTGTAGCAACTTGGTGTCCTCTTTCTTTACAACCTTCATCAGTTGAGGATTCAGTCTTCTTTGAGGTTGTCTCACTGGTTTAACATCCTCCTCCAAAAGTATTTTATGCATGCAAAAAGAAGGCCTAATACTAGGAATATCTGCTAACGTCCATCCTATTGCTTTCTTGTGATCTCTGATAACCTATAATAGCTGTTTTTCCTGGTCATCAGTAAGCAGTACAGATATAATAACATGGAGTTTCCCATCCTTCTCAAGATAAGCATATTTCAAATGAGAGGGTAAGGGTTTCAACTCCAAAATGGGTGGTTGTACCACAGATGGCAACATTTTACTGCCAAAGGTAATCTCAGCCACCTCAACATCACACTCAGATGCCACAAAGGTATCATTTATTGACATTGCGTCCTCAATATCACCTGCTTTACAGTTTTCCTTGTCGTCCAAAATTAGGCACGACATATTTGAAAAAGAAAAATCCAAAGTTGGAGAAAAAGTTGAAAAAACATCTAAGAAACTAAAAGAAAAAATTATTTACAACATCACTTAATAACTCAATACAAAACAAAGAATGATCTTTAATTGGGTGCTTCCCAGCTTCCAACACGTTGAAACACATTTTCTCGTCTCCTATCTCCATTGTCAATGATTCTGCATGCATATCTATCTTGGTTCGTGTTGTCATCATGAAGGGTCTTCCCAAGATAATAGTTGTTGGACTGACTCCTTCATCATCCTTCATATCCAAGATATAGAAATCTATAGGAAAAATTAACTTGTCTACTCGGACAAGCACGTCCTCAAGCATACCTGCAGGGTTAACTGTGCTACGGTTGACCAGTTGAATGACCACATCAGTAGTCTTTAGTGGTCCTAGAGATAGAGAAGTAAACACTGATAAAGGCATTACATTTATGGAAGCCCCTAAATCTAGCATGACATTGTCAAACTTTGAATTTCCAATAACACAAGGAACAAAAAACATATCTGGATCCCTGCATTTTCGTGGTATTTCAATATGCTTCTCAATCAAACTTGACACATTTCTTCCAAAATTCACAACCTCATTATCCCTAATACGCCTTTTATTTGTGCAAAGTTCTTTCAAAAACTTGGCGTATTTAGGGATTTGTTTAACAACATCTAGCAAGGGAATGTTGATCTCCACCTTTTTGAAAGTATTTAAAATCTCTTGGTCTAATTACTCCATTTTTTTGTTTTTTGGCTTCAACCGATTTGGATATGGAGGAGGTGGAGAATAAGATGAAGAAGAATTTTTGGAAGAAGAGTCAGAGGATACTAACCTAGATATATCAGTGGTAGTCTCATGTGATGGTTCAATTGGTCCTCCATTGTCATCAATTAGTGCTTCTTCTTTCTCCTTATCTTCATCCTCTTGGGCTCCTTCATGGCCTTCTACTTGCTTACCCGTTCTCAAAGTAATGCCATTTACATTACGTGGGTTGATCACTGTTTGTGCAGGCAGTTTATTTGATTCCTTAGCCTCTAACTTTTCCACCCTCTGACTCAACTCTGCAATTAATTTCTTGATTTCTGAATTTTGCTCAACTATTATCTTCATGAAATCTTGTAGTGACATTCCGGGTTGAGATTGTTGCCTTTGTTGAGGTGGACCATAAGGTTGCATGTTCTATTGATACTTATCGGAGGATGAATCATGATAATTTTGGTATGGTCTATTTCCTCCAAACATGTTTGCATCAAATGCTTGAGATGGGTTTTCCATAGTAGTTTCCACCAAGTTAGGACATTCATCAATGTACTGATAAATTGAAATGCAAATTCCATATTTCTTAGCAATATTTGGAGTTGAGGTTGTAAACAAGCTCACAATTCCATCGAGTTTGCTCTCTATCTTATTCAATCTTTCATCTATCCTCTTTCCATCAACTGCATTATTTTCAATTTGATGTACTCCTTTCAACAAAGTCACTGAATTTTCTCTTGGTCCATACTGTTGATTGTCCATTGCCTTTCATTCTATTAGATCTATACCATCCTCTGGTGACCTTTCTAAGAAAGATCCTCCGCTTGCAACATCTGCCCATGACCTACCAGTTGGACTTAAGCCTTCATAAAAGCTTAGAATGAAATCTTCCATTTGGAGTTGACGGCATGAAGCACATAGTTTCTTGAATCTTTCCCAATATTCACTAAGATTCTCTTTATCTCTTTGTCTTATATCTTCAATTTCTCTGTAGATAGTTGATAATCTGGATGCAGGAAAATACTTTTCAAGAAAAAGTCTTTTTATAGTTTCCCAATTTGTAATCCGTGTAGAGAGATAATACCACCAATCTTGAGTTGCTCCTTGAAGAGGAAAAGGAAAAGCTCTCATTTTAAGGCAATCTATTGTGATCTTGGGAGATCTAAAACTTTCACGCAACATGTGAAATTGTCTCAAGTGCTTGTGTGGATTCTCCATTGATAACCCATTGAACTTTGCTAAGGCATTTAACAGGTCAGGTCTCAACTCCCACTCCTCATTAGGGTATTCAATGTTATTTCAGATAACTGTATTGTGGGGGTGGCTAGCTGTCTGATAGTTCTTTGTGCCATTCTATTTGGTTTAGGATCAGGTAAAGGTAATGGTATATTTGTGATTGAAAATAATGAAGGTGGTATGACTTCAAATGTAGGAAGTGTTCCCAAAGTAGAACACCTAAATTTCAAACTTCTCTGCAGCTTACGCAAATTCCTTTCAATTTTCGGGTTAACTTGATAAAGTTTTCCAAGATAGCTCGGGTCATGCACTACGTAGTCTACTTGAGATTGTTTCTTTGTTTCGCACTTATCTTTTTCTTTTGTTCTTGCTTTAGAGAAAGATTTCAAATAAGAGATAAGAGAGACTTTGTTTGGGTCTACTCCTAGGAAAGAGAGGTGTGTCATAATGGACAACTTAAGTACCAAGTCTTTCCTAGCCAACATAGATTCAAAGTAGCCTCAAATACTTCTCAAGAGAAATTCTTAATTGAAACAAGAACAAAGATTTTGCTAAAAATAAGAATAACCAAAGCTACAAAATAACTCAAACTAAATTAAATGTATATGCATTAAATAAAAAAAAACAAATAAAGATAAAAATAAAGTAAGAATCAAAATATTCAAAATATTAACCGTATTTCCCGGCAACGGCGCCAAATTTGATATGCTGTCGTTAAAGCTATCAAATTAATACTACTTTTCAAGCAACTTCAGTATTGCCAAGTCAGTAGTTAAGAAAGTAGATAGGGTTAAAGTAACCCTGAGTCGTCTCCCAACGAATACAGAATTGCTTTTCAATATTTCAATCTTATGAATGCTATGCAATGCTCAATAATGAAAGTGAGAAACTATGCTAATGGAATTAATGTTTGAAGCATGTTTGAAGAACAAAGAAGAAACCTAGAAACAATTATGATATAATAAGTTAATTCCACTGTTTTTCAAAGATAGATTCATCATCGGTTATCCACAGATAATTTTTCAATTGATTATTGTTCAAGTTTCAAATTAATTAAAGTACATTCATAACTAATTTGAGGGCGATCATGCAGTTAACCAAAGTAGATTCTCAATCAAATGCAAGACCTTTTTAGATTATTCACAATGAATTCAACCAAAGTACATTCTCAATCAAATTCTATTATGTTTAATCATGTCTATTCTTAAATCTCCTAACAAAATTAAAAGCTAATTAATCAAAGTAAATTCTCAATTAATTATAGTTGCAATTATTATCACCAACCAAAGTACATTCTCAATTGATAGTAAAAACTTGTTTAATCATATGAAAGTTGCTAACTTTAATCAAAGTAGATTCTCAAACAAACCTAGAAACCCTTGAACTCATATAATTAATATGCATGTAGATTCAAACATGTTATGATACATGTAGATTCAATAATCAATAATCAAAAGAAACAATTGAATTAATTCAACTTAACCTCAGAATCCATAATGAAATTACAATAGAATTGCCCTAGGAGCTTAGCCCTCCATGAATGGACTAGAATACATGATGAAATAAAATGAGAGGAGTGGTGGATGAATGCTTCCTAGTGGAGGAGTCTGAGAGAATGAATGAGTTATGTCTCCCATGGGTCTCTTTATATAGGCTTGATTGGGCTTGGACTCTGAATCTTCTGTTGATAAGATCAAATATTCAACAGATTTAATCAGTTTTTGAGAATATTTGATAATATCTTTTCTAGATTCAAAATGATTTTGCAAATATTATCTTTTGACTTTTATTGATATAGTTAAATAAGGCAATTATTTAACAATATCAAACAAATTATCTTAAGATATATTTTCCCCAAATTATCTTTTAAAATAAACTTGTTCAAAATTACATTTCAACACTTTTTATTTTATTCAAAATTGCACAGAAGTTCAAAATTTTCCTCAATTGCACTTTAGCCTTTTCTTTCTTTTCAGAATTGCAATTCAAGCTTTAATTTCAGTTGCATCAACAAACATTAGACTATACAAAATAATTTATGCAACTAAAATTACATTTTAAGCCTCTTTAATTCCGAAACCTGATAAAGCCAATCATGCAAAATCTTATTCAAATAAATCATTTAAGCACAATTATTCCATTAAATTTTTGAAATTAAATATAAACTATGGGCATAAATATCCACTCATCAACGTAGCAGATAGACCCAAATACTCGTAGGCGTTTAGCTGATGGCTTTCTTCTACTCCAAGCTTCAATAGGACTCTTGTCTTGGACTACCTTAGTTGGACATCTGTTTAAAGTGTAAACTGCAGTGTTGACTGCTTCAGCCGAAAAAGTGTTAAGGATACTTTTCTCTTTTAGCATTGATCTTGCCATCTTCATAATTGTGAGATTCTTTCTCTCTGACACGCCATTTTGTTGTGGAGTATATGCGATTGTAAGGTTTCACTCTATGCCTTCATCTTCACAAAATTTGCCAAACTCGCGAGATGTGTACTCCTTGCCACGATCACTTCTAAGTACTTTTATCTGTTTTCCACTTTGCTTCTCAACAATGGTCTTGAATTTCTTGAATACCCCGAAGACTTCTGACTTCTCTTTTAAGAAATAGACCTATGTCATTCTAGAGAAGTCATGATTGAAGAGGATGAAATACATGTTGTTATGATGTGAAGGTGTTCTCATTGGTCTGCAAACATCAGTATGAATTAACTCCAATAAGTCTTTTGCTTTCCATGCTTTGTCTGTCGAGAATGGTAATCAGTGTTGTTTATCGAGGAGACATCCTTCGCATGATTCATTATTCTCCTTCAAGCATGGAATATCTTTCATCATGTTTTTGTGATATAGAAGCTTTAAGGCATGTGTGTTGAAGTGACCAAATCTTCTATGCCAAAGCCATGAGTCATCAACTTCTGCCTTCATGGCAATATTAGTTCCAGGTTTGAAGGTTATAGGACAACTTCTATTTCTCTGCTCCATTTTTACTTGGCCAATTTCTATCATTTTACTATCATAAATGTTGCATGTATCTTTCTCAAAATGAAGATAATATCAATTCTCCATCATTTGGAAAATACTTAAAAGATTTTCTTTAAGATTGGGAACTAGTAAAACATCCTTGATGAATTTCGTACCTTTCTTTGTCTCCACCATGACAGTTCCTTTGCCTTGGGAGTCCACTGTGGTGCCCTTTCCTAACCGAACTTTGACATTGACAGATTTATCAATGTCTTTGAAGATGTTTCGATGTTTCGCCATGTGATTGTTGCATCCACTATCCCAGTACCAACTTCCTTTTACATTTGAAGATTCTTGATTGACGAAGAATAATTGTTTCTCTTGATTATGTTCTTCCGCAAAGTTTGCTTGATGCTTATTTTTATTACGACAATACTTCTCTACGTGACCAATTTTCTTACAATACTAACATTGAGGTTTTCCATGATGCCAACAATCTTTTTCCAAGTGACTTGTCGTTTTATAGATGCCATATGGAGGATATATTCCTTGATGAGTCATAAAGAAGCTTCTAGAATTTTCTTTATTTATAGAAATTTCCTCTCTACTTTTATTTCCTTCGTATTCTTTATTCTAAGACCGCAATTTTAGTTTTGATTGAAAGAAATTTTCAACCGAGTATTCTCCATGCCTTTTCAATCTTTGTTCATAAGCTTCAAGAGAGTCCATTAGTTGTATTACTGACAATGTAGCCAAATCTTTTGTTTGTTCAATCGTGGTTGCGATTGCATCATACTTTTGGGGAATAAAAATTAAAATTTTCTCAACGATATTTTTGTCAAGAATATTTTCCCCAACGGCTCTCATCTGACTAACTATTTCTTTCATTCTAGAACAGTACTCTTTAATGGTCTCAGAATCCTTCATTCTTATTTATTCAAACTCTCGTCTTAGAGAATGAAGTTCAACATTGCATACCTCATCAGTTCCTTGAAACTCCTCTTGTATTATGTTCCAAGCTTGCTTTGCACTTTTGGCACCAATTATCCTTGAAAAAATTGTGCCATCAATTCCTTGTTGAAGAGCAAATAAAGCCCTTGAATCCTTCTGCTTGTTTTCCTCCAACTCCTTCTTTTGAGCTACAGTAAGAGTGGAAGTGTCTTCTAGAATAGTGAACCCCTCTTCTATAATATCCCATAAATCTTGATAGCAGAAGAATT